AGTCCCAAGTTCTTTTCAGTTTTATATGTTACTCCTCTCTCTACCTTCATTTCCCCCCCTCCCCAATTTTCTTCCTTGCCTTGTAGCAGAGGTTTTTCATCTGTTCCTTTTTGTTCATTTTTAGTTTTGATTACTATAAAACACTTGGATAAATAGCAATAGTTGCAAATAATTCAGAAGGGATTAATAAAAAAGAAAAAATAGTAGATTCGGTACCTTTGGGAAATGGAACAAGTTTGTCTTCCGAAACAGAGAAAACAAATAGTTGAGGTGCCAACCCCAGTTTCCACTCTTTTGCCACCCAGCAAAACGGTGTGTGAAAATGGGGAAAAATTACTCCAAATCAGATGGCAGCTGCCTAACAAACAACTGAACTGAACTCAGAATCAATATGAATTTTTTTTAACATCAAAAAAAGTGAATCTGAGGAACTGACCATTCAATCTACACAAAAGCAACAATTTACAGAGTTGGAGAACAGATAAGTCAGAGCAGTATGTGGTAAAACCTAAAGAAAAGGGGCCAAAGGTAGTTAGAAAAGAGGAAGGAGAAGCACAAGGATGGAGCTAAGGCAAAGGACACAGCTTGTCCATTAATTCAAGAGTAAAGCGGCCTTAGCAAAGAAGTCTTCCATCAAATCCTCAGGCCACCATTTTGAAACTGAACATGGGATTTAGACATAATACTTAATGCCATTCAGAGGAAATTTACTCAGAGAAATATCAGCTGGATGAGTATCTGAGTTAGCATACTAGTCAATAAATCCAAGCCCTTGCAAAATAGATGAGGACAAACTATCCTTAGACAATACATCCCAAGTTCCTAAAACCTTATAAACAAAAAGTTGTAATCAAACAGTGCATTTTCCTACATTTTAGCCTAATCACACCTTTTGGAGAGGAATTGGCACACTTTTGATGGAAGAAGGGTGGCAAAGATTTATAGTATAAGAACTAAATCAAATATATAGAGGCTCTTTTCATTTGGTTTCAGCCTAAGATATTGGCCAACAGGCAATGAAACTGAAGATTTCTTGTTAGGAGCTGGCATTCATTTGTACTGTGATTGTTTACATGTGTCAAGATCTCAGAGTGTTTGGACTCACTCTACAAGATCAATGGCAACCACAATAGCTTATCAGGTATCAACATTGGTAGAAATATACAAGGCAGCAGGATGGAAGGAGCCTTTAATATTTATTAGGCATTATAAAATAGGTAAGTAAAAGTCAGCACAGATAGCATGTGGATGCACAGTGTTGCAAACAGTTATTCAGCCATGCCCACTTGAATGACCAGAGCCTTGGATATATCCCATGTATGTGTAGAGTGCTTTTCCAGCCATGCAGAGAATGAGAGGATGATACTTACCATGAATAGTCATTCTTGAATGACTGTAGATGCAGTCCAGCCATACCCAAGATAGCTACAATTAAATAAATTTTAATTTTAAAACCCCATGGCTAACTTTTTCTATCTACTGCTAATCAGATGAATAATGTCTAAGTAAGTTATTGCTAGGTCAGGCAAGGCTAAATAATAAACATTGAAGGGTGAGAGAACTGAAAGGAGCTTTGGATCCCTACCTCAGTGGCTGGTGCAAAGAAATAACTCACATGTGTAAAAATTGCTTCTCCAGTCATCCAAGAATGACCATTCCTGATAAGTGTCAGCCTCTCAGTCTGAAAAAAGTGTGATATAATGATGTTATAAGCTAGTCAAGTAACTAAGTTTTGTGGTTATTCTGCTGTGGAAGTTGCTAGGTCCATTCTATGTGCAATAGGTTTAAGACTAACTGAAATAAAATACCTTATTTTCCTGCGTATAAGACTACTTTTTAACCTGCAAAATCTGTGGTTAAAGTGGGGGTCGTCTTATACACCGGGTATAAGGATAAGGAGGGTAGGGGTGCTAAAACTCTATATTTTGACTGGAAAATGGGGGGTCGTCTTATATGCCGAGTCGTCTTATACGCCGGAAAATATGGTTGTTTGATTCTTTGCTTTTCATATTCATATCCAGTCTATCCCCCCCCCCCAAAAAAATAATAGCAATTAATAAGCAACCCAATCCTATGCAGAATTAGGAATTCCTGTCAATTTAGATAAATAACTTTTCCTTAAAAGGTAAAAGTAGTCCCTTGACAGGAATGTCTAGTTGTAACCGATTGTAGGGGGCAGTGCTCATCTCCGTTACTAAGACTGATCTGGTGGTCATGTGGCCATCATGACTGCACCGAACGTGTTACCTTCCCACTGAGAAGTGGTACCTATATACTTGCATTCTGCCTTCTCTCCACATTCACCACTACTGCTGTTGCCCAGTAGCTGTTTTACCCTAGTGCTTCACTTACTGTTTAGAGTAAGCATGATCAATCTTTACCTCTTCTTAATTGATGGATGTAAAATGTTGCACCCCCTCACAGTCTCCCCCTGTATTCCACCTGTCTCTGGTCCAACCCCCCCCCCTTGACATCACTTCTGTCTACGCTGCCTCCAATGCACCTGCAGTTCCAGTTCCTGCACCTCTTCTGCATCCTGGAGCAGGCCTCTGGAATGGTGGCAGTGCTGATGGCATTCTGGCTGGCCTCTTGCTGGCCCTCTTCCCCTCAGACCCCTATCCTCATTGACGATGGCAGCTGATTGATGGCAGCAGTGTTCTGGATGTCCTGTCACTTTGCCCTTTTTCCCTCAGTGTGACAGTCGTGGATGGTCAATGGGGGTAGTGCTCACAGAGTACTAGCCTAAAAAGACTGTCAACACAACTCAACCCTGCTGATTTAAATATGAGACTTTGTTTTCTCATTTCCTCCCCTTTGGTATTGTGAATAGAATAAGGAATAAATTCAACTAGTTGTGTCAGGGACTTTTGATTATTTTACTGACTGTGGCTGAAATTATCTAGACCGGGGGTCGGCATCCTACAGGCCGGGGCCAGCCCCCTGAGTCCTCTGAACCGGCCCCCACTGACCGCTGCTGCACACTCCACTGCCTTGCCACTGCCATGCGTGTCGTGGCCGCCATTTTGTTTTTCAAATGGTGGCCGCGACTTGTTTGTGCATGCGCAGTACTCCTGCACATGCACGAACGAGTCACGGCTGCCATTTTGGAAAACAAAATGGCGACCGCAACTCGTTTGCACATGCGCAAACAAGTCGCAGCCGCCATTTTGTTTGCCAAAATAGCAGCTGCGACTCACTCACGCATACGCAGTACTCTGGAAGTACTGCGCATGTATGAGCGTGCACGCGCACCGCCATTTCACCCACCCACCCACCCACCCTCGGCCCGCGGAAGACCTGGAGGTCAGCGGACCGGCCCCAGGTAAGAAAAACTTGCCGACCCCTGATCTAGACTATTTTGTAACTTCTATAAGTGGACCTAGAGGGAAGGTGCCCTTCATAAAGAGAGTATGTATTGTCTTGCTTAGAATAAAGCCTTTCCTTTAAAAATACTTCTCTCATACTTGTCACGTGGCTTCTGCTCAGTCTGTGTGTTGCCCCCTGCACCGACAGAGGTGGGAACATAGTGCATAGTGGTGGGAACCTCCAACAATGTCCCAGGGTGTTGCTGTGCAAGGGAAATTTGAATCAGTAGGTGGTGGCAGTAGATGATTTTTGGGAGGTCCCATCCAGCTCAGGCAGAAGCAGGAGGGGATTCTCAAGAGTAAACACATTAATAGCTGCTCCAAATTATATTCCACAATAAATGCAGTAATTCTACAGTAATAGCTTATGGATACTGTTTGCCTTATTATTACGGGTACACTTAAGCTTCAGGGTGTGCACAAGATCTTCATGACTTTGCCCATCTTAATTAATGCAGTCAAAATTGGGAAGGCTGGTTAGATGGCTGTTTCTTTGAAAGAAGGCAGCATGCTGAATATCCTAAAGAAAAACATTACAAGTTGTTTATTGAAAAAGTCATTCTGAGTTCCACCAGTTTGGACTGTTGTTGGCCTTCATCCATTATACCATGTTTGATGAAGTGGCTCATTGTATTGTAGTGATCCAAATGCATGGTTTTTAGGTTCTTTTCCACTGCCTAGGTTCTGTCCCAGTGTTTTTGACAGAGACTGCCTAGATTGTCCTGATAGATGACTTTCATCATGAATTAGACAGGAAGAAGTATCCTTTTGTTCCACTGAATCTGTCAGTGACATTCGATAACACTTACCACAGTATTTTTCTGGATTGATTAGCTGGGATGAAGGGCACAATTTTGTAGTGGTTCCAATCAGTTCTGAAAGGTAGGTTCCAGAAGGCAGCATTTGTGGACTACTGCTCAACTTTGTGGGTGTTGGCTTACAAAATTCTTCTAAGATTCTGTCTTGTCCTCCTAATTTTTCAACATCTTCAGATAGCCAGTGTGAGAGATGGTTCAGGGATTTGGGAGAAATGTTATCAAAGCCTAATGACATCCAGTTCTGTATCATTATCATAAGATTCAGGTGAGACCATGGAGGTCCTGAACTGGAGTCTTGAATTAGTGAAGGGAAGGGATCTGGGGGAAGGTTAATCCAAATAAGACACAAGTGCTCTTTGTAAGAAAGCTAATGTGTTATTACAACCTGTTTTATACAGAGTCTTGATTCTTTTTAAAATCCAGATTTATAACTTGAAAGTGCTCATGATTGTGGCCATAAGTATTTTTGAAGCTATCAGACAAGTGTCCTTTCTTCTAGGCAGATTTGGCCACTGTCATAAATGCTTTAGTCACATCCAAGTTGTATTGTTAGACTATGCTTGGTATGATTCTATCTTTGAAAAGTGCTTAAGAGTTCAGCCGTTGCAAAATTTAGGCAGAAAAGAGGAGACTGGGTTTTTTAGACTGCTTGATTTTGCTGTCATAGGAGCTTCTTTGGCTCCCAGTTGCATTCTTTGCCCAATTCAAATTGCTTTAAGTTTAAAACTCAGAATGGTTAGGCTGCTTGAAGGGATTCCTACATGATTTGTCTGTGCATTCAGGTCAGCAATGAGTTGAGGTACTGTTGATGGTAAGAGCCACTGTGTGTAAGTGGTTTGAGTGTTAGACTATGACTCTGAAGGCCAGAGTTCAAATCCTTGCTCAGCCATGGAAACCCACTGGATGCCCTTGGGCATGTCACACTCAGAGGAAGGAAGGCAAAACTCCTTCTGAACACGTCTTGTCCCCCCAAAACCCCATGATATGTTTGGCTTATGGTTGCCATATGTCAGAAACAACTCAAAAACTCACAACAACAAACTGTTGATGGGTAGAGAAGATAAGAGTTCTCAGACAAAAACATTCTGCTCTAAGAGGCAGTATTGTGATATCTTTCTCCAGCAACAGCAAGAAACAAAAACAAAGCTGCCCAATGTTTTTTTTTAAAAAATGACAGAATTTTGTAGAATGACTGGGAGTTATTCATTGAAATGTGAACACTTGTATACTGCTTAAAAATAGCTGTGTTAATCTGTATCACTATACAAAATATTGCCTCAAGGGAATAAATATTTATTCAGTCAACAAGTGCAAGTTTGCTTTTGTTTATTTAACTTTTGGGGCACTAGGAGGAGACACTAGGGATCATATATCAAATATACATTGGATAATGTAGTGCAGCAAAGAATTTAAAATGAAAATCAGCCAGTGATTTATAGATTATAGCAAAGCCTATGACTGTGTAGATCATGAAAAGCTATGGATTACTCTTAAAGAAATGGCTTTTCCACAACATTTGATTATCCTGATGCATAATCTGTACTCAGAACAAGAGGCTACCCTTGGAACAGAATATGGAGAAACAGAATGGTTCCCAGTTGGCAAAGCTGCAGTTTATCATGCTGTTTAACATGCATGCTGAACATATCATACATAAAGCAGGATTAGAATCAGAGGAAGGAGGGGTGAAAATTGGAGGAAGAAACATCAACAATTTAAGAAATGCACATGACACCATACTGTTAGCAGAAAATAGCAAAGACTTGGCATGGTTGCTGAGGAAAGTCAAGAAAGGAAGTGCAAAGGCAGGTTTACAGATGAATATTAAGAAAACAAAAAAGAATGGGGCCACAGGTGATTTACATAACGTTAAAGTAGACAATAAAGACATTGAAATTGTTAAGGATTTTCCATAACTTGGCTTGGTCACTAATCCGAATGGAGACTGCAGTCAAGAAATTAGAAGAAAAGTAGGATTTGTATGGTCAGAACTAGACAAGATCCTGAAGTGTAAAAATTCAATACTGAAGTTAGGATTGTCCACGTTTATGGTGAGAAAACTAGACAGTGAAGAAGGCTGATAGGAAGAAAATCAGCTCATTTGAAATGTGATAGAGAAGAACCTACAGACACTGTGAACTGCAAAAATTACAAATATGTAAGGGGGTCCTAGAGCAAATCAATTTTGAACTGTCCCTAAAAGCCAAGGGGACTAAACTGAGACTCTTGTACTTTGAACAAATCTAGTCACTAGAAATTACAATAATGACAATAATGGTAAGGTAAGGCAATAGGAAAAGATGAAGACCACCTTCCAGATGGATAAAGAAAACCAAGGCCCTGAGTCTGCAAAACTTGAACAGGGATATTGATGACAGTGTGACTTGGAGGTCTCTTATGTATAAGGTTGCCATAAGTGAAAATTGACTTGATGGCAGTTAAAAACAAAAAGATTTTCCTTCATAATCCACAAAAACAGATGCTAAAATAAACCTGTTAGTCTTAAAGGTAACATTCTTCTGTTTTCTCCCATTTTCTCTTCTATATGTAGGTAGACTAATATAGTTAGCTCTTTAAAAATGCTATGAGCAGTGGTATTTTTAAATGTCATTTGAAGTAAATAATGTGAAACTTGCATGACATAAATTTATGTTCACATTTACGCAATTGCAGAACTGCTCAAAATATTTTCTTCTTGCTTGCTTGTTCTTTAGGACTCCTGTTTAGTTGTTCTGTGTGTGTGTGTGTAGAAAAATATATATTTATAAAATCATGATACACAAAACCCAGGCCACAAAAACACTGATAGAACAGAAAATTACATCCAGAGACATGAAAAAGAGAAACACACAAACAATACCATAATATGTTCAATATGTGTGATATATTATGCGTTTTTAAATTATTATTATAAGTAAACAACTATGTACAAAACATGTCACAA